AACCTATTCTGAGTAACAATCAAATTTTAATTTTTTTCACATTATGTACTTTTGAAAATCCTCAACAAATTGTTTTAATATTGTTTGTGAATTGAACTGTCCAAGTTAAAAATCATGTTGAACATTTTCTTCTGAGAGGCACTGTAGTATGTATGAATTTGTTGCCTTTGAACTTTTTTCCTAGATTTCATTATTTTTTAAATTCACTTCGTATGCTTGTTTTTGCACAGTCACACATACGCACATACAAAACCGTAAGCAGTGTATTTTTATGCTAAATATTACATCGCAACCTTTCAACCCTTTTATCTACTTCTTCCGGTTGCTGTTGTGGCAGCTCAAAAATTAATTTATCAAAATTACCCACAAAAACAATCACACATCACATTTGATCCCACAAAACACTTGCAACAGCGCTAAATCTCCTACGCGGTACACTTGTATACCTAAAAAAACGTATGTATAAGTATACTTATACCCTGCAAAACTCGCGACTACTCCATGCATGCATGTACAGAGTACTCACTAAGGATCAAGGAGTACTACAAAATTAACCAAAATGCCTAAAAAATGTGGTCTAATTAACATTGCGATGTCCTAGGCCAGGACCATATTACAGCTCTGCATTACATCAGAGTAGCACAAAACTACGCCAACATATTAACAATGTCTTTGTTGATATATTTTTTCGTTTGTAAACGCTTTTGTTATGCACTTCACAGATGCGTTTTCATTGTTCGGACACATAAAACAAACATTTTTATTAGCATTTTAACATTATACCTCTGACGAGATTCGAACCAGGACTTTCTGGAAGTTAGCAAATAACAGCGAGAATTTTTGCACACTCAGCTACAGCCGTTCCGTAATTTTGTTTTCAAATGTTTAACTTGAATCAACTTAAAATCACATTTCGTTAAAACACGAGCAGTGATCGGGTAACAATAAGCTTGCGCAGAGACACGAGTTGGTCCGCTACAGCATGACAGAGGAACACTTTGTAAGTATTCAAATATGCCACAAATCGACTGCATGGTCCAAGCATTTTTGCAGGGTATGCATACGTGCTTGTAAATGTACATATCCATGTATGTATGTGTAAATACAAAAAAAAATGAAACAACTATGCTCAAACATAAGTATCCATTCACACCCAGTGGGAAAATTTAATGTTTGGTAATATACAATGTACAAAACAAAAAAATACAATTCGACGTTGTATGATTCGTGCTCGAGAACATCTATAGACAGTCGAATAACTATGTTGGTATGTATCCGTTCGGTTACAGAACCTGGTGAGATAGATATTAGATATTTGTTGAGTAATTGATGCACTGTACCCAGCTTATACGATAACAGAGAAAATGAACGCATATTTATGTTCAGTCGCAAAAGTCGAATCTTTTATCATAGAAAAAGGTCACGATTTACTCATTTTCCCGCTGGGCGTATTTATTACTACAAACGCAAACATACACACCCACTCATACATAGATACATACATATGCACAAATATTTTATTTGCTATATTTGCCTCCTGTCCCTTTAGCCGGTTTCACCTTTTACCATTAGGGCATGTCACTTTCTACCCGCCTCATCCCCGAAGTTGTCTAGTCATCACCCTCTCCTGATATCCTGCAATCTCAACCGTTGCTCCATTCGTCTTAATTTTTTTGGCAACTTGTACTCGGAAGTTGAACTCAAAGCAAACCTTGAGCGTTCGCATTTGGCTGCAGATATCCTTAGAAATCCATCTGTTCGCAATCACCAAAGTGCCAACTGTCTTCGCAATTCACTCAGTGTTTCACCGAATATATTTCTCGATCAACCATAAATACAAATTGTTTCTTGTATGTTCACTTGTGCTTCCACGTGACATATTAGTTTTTTTTTTTACCTTCCTCTTATGAATGTCCATATTCTTGTATGTATGTATGTATGTATACATGTATTTGCTGTTGCATTCTTTGCGTCAGACCAAACAAGCTTCTGCTCCACAAGAGTGGCTTTGGAGCTTATTATAGGTAAAATTTCTTGCTTGTATTGCGTTGCTTAGCTAATTTGCTTGTTTGCTTTCTTACCTATTGTTGCCCTGGTGCTATGAGCTTCATACGATGATTGCAAAATCTTGTTGTATGAGGGTTAATCCCCAAGGGTATACTATAGAATACGAAGCAAATACCTTGAAATGCTCACAACATGTGAGAGAGACAGATTGTCTGAACAGAAGCACCCCCAGAAATATGGAAGTACGCAAATCTGGGTATACCATTGTAAGAAAATTCTTAAAGACATCATGTGCGAGTGGGTGAATCCTAGTAAATACCATGCTAAAAATGTAACTAGTCCGATATGACTACGGAATAACTTTCCAAGAAACATGTTTTTATATAGAACTAGCAAAGCACCCGACCTTGTTTGGGGTAAACAAATCAAAATATAAAATCGTAGTACAAGTATTTAATTCAGCATAAATTAAAGCAGACAAACTATACATTCCGTTTATCTGCCTTTTCGCTTAGCTGTTTTAGAATAGCGACACTTTTCCGGTAGAATGCTTATTTCGGAAGGAGATTTATACATTATGAATGAACATTTTTCGTTAAACAGCATCGCGCGATCAAAAAAAAAACGATTTAATCCTTCCGTTCCGAAATGGTCTAAAGACTATAAGACACAGTTTTAAATATCCGAGTGATATACATAATTGATGAATACATATGTAGCCCCCTTTTAAAAACTCATTTATATATACTTTATTCTAAACAACTCCCATATATGTATATGTATGTCTGCATACCAAATTTCAAGTTCATGTGAATTATGGTTCCCAATTTATGGCTGATTAAAAATTCCACGCCTATGCTCCACTTTCCCTTTTACAAACTCATGTATACAAATTTAACCATACAGAAACCACGCGTTTTCTTACAACCAAAATTGTACCTTTTACATTTCGCTGCGTAACAAAACTTCACTATAAGCACCTACCATGGATACGTATTCATACCAAAGTCCATCATATTTCACGCCTGTGGAATATTCCACGCCCCTTTCTACTAAAAACTCATTTATATATACCTTACTATAAGCACCTACCGTAGATACGTCTGCATACTAAATTTCAATTTCATGTGACATATGGTTCCGAAGTTATATCTGATAAAAATTTCCACGACTATGGGATGTGCCACGCCCCCTTTTATAAATTCATTTATACTAGTGTTCGCCAAGCGGTTGAAATTCAACCGATAAAATTAAGGATAGTTTATGTAAGTTGAATGAGCTAAAATAACATTAGTTGGAATGGGTTAAGTGGAGGGGAGTTTAGCTTAGTACTTGGCATAACATAACATAACCATAACATAAGAATAAATAACATAACATATGAAGCATAACACACCACAATATAACATCGCACACTCTTCAGTTGTATTTCCTTTTTATCCCTTTTTTCACCTCTAT